TGTATGCTTGGATGCTTTAATTTCATTGTCATTGATATCTGTTTTCTTGCATTCAACTTTATATGTACACTACTCATGCTGCTTACAAGATGTCATTGTTCTTTGTTCATAGCTCATTTTGAATGCCCATGCTCATTAACCTCATGATCTCATTCTATACACATCCTTGAGATAAATTGTTGCAGGGGTTTCTGCACAAGTGATCAAAGTTCTCTATAGACCACTAACAGTGTTTCTTGTACTTTTACAGTGGAATTGACCAATACTAATATATCATGAGTGATGTTGAGTTTCTTAACCATCTCCCATCATTTTTCACTTCTACGGTTTCTCCCTCAGTTTCTTGAAGTCCGGGCATTAGGAAAAGGCTACCTCAGAGGCACCAACTAGGCCATCCTTTTTTATTTCATTCTTCTCTGATTTGGTTTCCATACTCTTAAGCGTGAATGGCACCAGTGAGTGCCACAAGAAAGAAAAAGTCTGAAAAAATAAGAAAGGGACTCATTATTTAAGGAGGAGCCTCCGTATTTACTCAACAAATACCCCGTGATTCCTAGAGGTTTGACTTTTCTCTATGATGTTAAGTTACTCTTGGTGGAGGTCCAGCCATCCGATCACTACGAGGATTAACTCTAGCTCAGTGGCCTCTCAAGGACTGCACACACACACCTCATTTTGTGAGCTCTCGTGTTGGTTTTTGAGCTGTACATTCTCATGAAGCTTATAATCATTGATTATATTTTATCTGCTTTGCTCATGATTACAAGTGTCATTTTTTTTTTCACATTGCAAGCTTACAGGTTTCATGATGTGCGGATTATTTCATCTTAGTATCAATTATGGCTAAATGTGATCATTTTCTTTTGTTACAAGACTCGCTTCATGATCTTGAGTATTTTTTTTGTTTTTTGTTTTTAAATATTAAAAAAAAAAAAATTGGGTTTTGTTTTTTTTCTCTTCTTCGCTTGAGCGACGGAGTCCTCGCTTGAGCGTGCTTCTGCTACTGAGTTAGACCTGAGAGCATGCGTTTTTGGCTCGAGCGACAAGTTCTTGGCTCGAGCGAACCCTTGCGCAGTATTGTCCTTGCTTGAGCGAGAAAGTATTCGCTCGAGCGACCTGTCGAGGTTTAAATACTGCAACTGTGTCTCTTCGTTTCATTTTTTCCCTCTTTGCTTCAAAGTGTTGCCTCTTCACTTCCTTTGGGTGATTTCTCTTCTCTTCGTGTTCCTCCATTGGTTTTTTGTTCGTGCTTGGGGCTTCATCTTTTCCCTCATCTACATTCTCAGTTTTTGGGTAAGTTTTTTTTCTCTTTGTTTTTTACTTCTCCGTTTGTTAATGAGACTATGCATTTGCTCTGTTATACTCTAGGGTTCCTCATTGATGCTTTTGGTTAGTTCATCTTGTTCTAGAGTCTGTCTCATGCTTCTAGGGTTAATGGTTGTGAACATGTGACTTGGATTTTCTACTAGGGTTTAACATTTGGGGTTTAATTTCTACGAGTTGTTTAATGTGTATGCTTAGTGTTTAATTTGTGGACTTAGTCCATTACTTTTTTGTTAATTTCTACTTAATCTATTTATTCATGTCTTTTATCTGCTATGGTTATGAGTTTTATTTTATTTTTTTTGTCTCACACTGCTAGATTACTAATATTGTTGCTGTGTTCTTTGGTTTGGATTTGGGGTTGTCTATTTTTATTTGGTCTCTTGTGTTGTGGGTTATTGTTTTTTCTCTGTTTTTGTCTTGTCTCTGTGGTTTGTTTAGTCATGGCTGAATCATCCAAGCGTCGTAAATCTACTGTTTCCCATCCTTCATTCAACACTGACAAATTCGAGTCCAAAGAAAAGTCTAAGTTGTTTAGGGAGTCATTTGCCACTCGTAAAGTCCATTTAGAGAGAAATGTCCTCCCCAGTGCTTTTGAGGTGCTTACCATTCGTTCCTTATTCGATTCATTGGGCGGTGATCAAGTGTTGCATTTTTCGGGGTCACAAAATTTGAGTCTTATCCGGGAATTTTATTGCAATATCCATTCCATTCGCAAAGAAATTTCGGCATCCTTTACCACTTGGGTTAGGAAAAAGTCTCTTGTTATCACTGGGGATATGTTTCGACTATTTCTTGCTCTTCCTGAAGTTAGTAATTTTCATTATCCGTTTCTTACTCGGTCAGGTGTCGATTTTGATCGTGTTGCGTCTGAATTATGTGGTGTTGACCGGACTTGGCTCGCTGGGGCACTCATTCAGCAAAATGAGTTGCTTCCTCGGTTCCGTCTTATGAATATCATTGTGTGTGCAAATCTTCATGTCACCACCCATTCCTCGCACATTACCCAGGACCAGCGTTATGTGTTGTGTTATATTCATCACAAACTTCCCACTGATCTTTCCGAGATGATCGTTTCCAAACTGATTGGGGTGTTTGAGGGTAGAAAGTCTTTGGGGCTTCCTTATGGGTGTTTGCTTACTCGTTTTCTCACTTCTCTTAATATTCCTATTTATGATGATGATAAGTTTGCCCATCCCACAAAACCCATTACTAAATTGACAGTCTCCCAGAGTCAAGCCCATGTCGGGGGGGTGTGTCGGGGGTTGGGATATCTGATCCAGGTGATGATGTATTCGCAGAGGAGGAGGAGGAGGTTGATGCAGCCCCAACAGGTGCACCTGATCTACCTGAGATGCGTCCTCGCTCATTTCATGGCCAGCTGCAGCAGTTTGAGCAGTTAGTCACTCGTCGCCTTGATCAGTTGGATGCACGACTCGATTCCCTTGATGGCCGCCTTGATCAGCAGGGTACCATGCTTGCTCAGATCCTGTCTATGCTTCAGATGCAGCATCCCCCACCTTCTCCTACCTAGTTTTTGGCCTATGGTTGTTTTTGGACAGTTTTTTATTTTCTGGACAATTTTGGTTTCTTTACTTGGATAGTTTTTCTGCAGGTGTATATGTTTGTTTTTTGGGTCACTCCCGGACAAAAAAGGGGAGTATGATTTACAGGGTATATAAGTTTGGGATATGTTTTGCTGTATATGGGATATGATTTGCAGGGTTCTATCATATGTTTTGATGTATATGGGATATGATTTGCAGGGGTCTATCATATGTTTTGATGTATATGGGATACTCATGATATATTTTGCAGGCAACACTTGGACAAGTTTAAATGTTATATTGCATCTATAGTTGGGCTTCTGTTTACTTTTTGTCTTGATGGTTTCTTGTTTGGGATAACTATTCTCTCCAAGTTTATTTTGTGCAGATTGATCTTCCATCCAGATTGGTTTGATAGTTGGTTTTTTTTCTAGTTTTTAGTTGGATTGTTTAGTTTGTTGTTTGGTTAGGAAATTATGTTAGAAAGTTTTGTCCGGGTATTGACAAAGGGGAGATTGTTAGGTCCCTTAGTCTTGTCAATCCCGCGAACAACTTGTGTGATTGAGTTGTAAAATTTCCTTACTATTTTGTCTTCCTCGCTCGAGCGAAGGACTGCGTCTGCATAATAACCTGAAAGAGTTTATTGTTCGCTCGAGCGAAGGTTTCGTGGCTCGAGCGAAAGCACTTATGGAAATCACGCGAGTTAAGGTTCTCACTCGAGCGAGAGAAGCTTCGCTCGAGCGAGCTTCAAAATCCAGGATTTCTATAAGTAGTTGTTTTACTCCAAAACTAGGATTAAGTTTTCAGATCTACTTTGAGGTTTTCTAAGGTTTTCTTCTAGAGTATTTTGTGAGTTTTCCTTGATAAATGGAGTGAGTATTAAACTCATGAATTGACAAGCACATATCAAGGAGATTGATTGAATACATATAAGAGTGTTATTCTTCGGTGGATTCTAAAGATTCAAACGTGGAGTTTCAAAGAAGTTTGATTCTGTACGTAGTCGTTTATTCGACAAACGAAGTTGTGGATTCAACTTCAGATTAATCAGTTCCGAGACAAAGGCTTGGTGAAAGAGTTACAGAAGGTTTGAAGACACATTGATTGAGTTGGGTAATTTGTTTGTAATCTTTGTAATCTTTCTTTCTTCAGTAGTGGATTGATTAGTGGCGTTTCGCCCGTGGTTTTTTATTACAATTGAAGGTTCTTCAATTGTGGTTTTTCCACATAAAAATCGTTTGTGTCGATTTATTGTTTATTTCGAAAATAACAATCTAAATCACTTTCGTAAGTGCTTGATGATTTAGAATGTGTGTTTTGAATAATTGGGAATTAAAATATTTTTTTCTTGATCTAATCACGAATCACTTAGGATTTTCAGTAGTGATAAATTAATCTAAGTTAAATACAATTATCTTTATTAAGATATTTCATTTTTATATATTCTTGTAATGAAACAGACAGATAGTTAGTTTGATTTTTTTTTATTCAAACAATTATCAACTCTGTTTTTGTGATGAAATTTGTATTTTTGGACTATATTTTACCTTTTTCAATATAAATTTCTCTAGAAAGTTCATTTTTCACGTCATGGCATTCCACTTCTTGATTTTATGCAGGTTAGCCACAACTTTTAAGAATTTGGCACAAGGATTTAGTTACCAATTCACACTTTTCTTTGTCCTTGAAAATGTTAGTTTTAGGATATTCTTTTTTTTGAATATTTTTTATCTAGTAATATTAAAAACAACAATGATTCATCCTCCCTTTTCCCCCACCCCCTTTGACCCCCTCTCTCTCTCATTGGTTGCTTTTTCTTTTTCTTTTTCTTTTTTTTCCTGCTCCTCCAATCACCACCCGCCACGTAGCAAAAGGGGTGAGGGGGTGACCCCCAAAAGGGGTCCCAAGCATTATTCTATTAAAAATACGGCATAGATAGATATATGATTTTGAAAGTGCGAAGAGAGCTGGCAAACTGTTTGGCTATCCTAGGGGGTGGGATGTAATTTCTCAAACGTCAGGGGGGAATCTGTATTTTTACAAAACCTCGAGGGAAGTGTTTGTAATTTGCCCTTTTCTTTTTCTTTTTCTTTTTTTTCCTGCTCCTCCAATCACCACCCGCCACGTAGCAAAGGGGTGAGGGGGTGACCCCCAAAAGGGGGTCCCAAGCATTATTCTATTAAAAATACGGCATAGATAGATATATGATTTTGAAAGTGCGAAGAGAGCTGGCAAACTGTTTGGCTATCCTCTAATGATAAAGAGTAGGAGGCTTGCTTATGATGGGCATGGAAACGCTGCTGCTAAGAGTGAAGAGGAGATCTCTTCTACAGCAAATGGTAAGATGTTCATTACTATAAATTACTTGAACCAATGAATCATAATAATTAGTATATTTTTTCCAATGAGCCGTATACCATGCAATTGCTTTCATTAATCAAATTTGTCACCTTCTGAATTTTTTTTCTTCTTTTTTTCTTTTTATCAGTACACCATCTAAATCTTTAAGCATTAATATTTTTTAGTATTGAGGAAGTCTTCTTTAGCTCACACATAAACATTTTAAGGGATGATTTAGTCAATGCAACTATGTTGATATAGAAAATACTAAGTGATCACCATCAACATATGCTTCATAACAAGCTAGTCTTCAAAGCCCATCACAGTCTGCCCTTGGGGTCATCATCAAATCTTTAAAATGTTTTCTTACCTAGTCAACACTTGTGTTTGTTAAAAAAATTGCCATTGCATATGTTGCTTCACCATCATGTTTCATAAATTATGGTTGCTTTTGTGCTGCTTCATAGAACCTCCCTTTAGCTTCAATCTAATATGCCGCAATTAATGTGGGAAAACAAATTCACTTTTATTAACTGTTTTCTTAGGTAAATTGCTTCTAGCTTCTCTAAAATTTTCAAGGCCATTCTCTTTGCAGTCCTTGGAGGCTATGATCGTGCATTATATGTTGAGAAATGGGCTCCATTTGTAAAGGTTTACTTCAACTATGTGCCTTTAATTTATCAAACCATCTGGACATGCTTATTTTGAGTTCTTGGACCGCACAAAGAATTGGTTTTTGTGTCCTGATCATTGTTAACAAGTTAGACATTATTTATTTGTTCTTTTTTCTTTTTTTTTTCAAATCCTACATAAGATGGTTTAAGCACACACATGCTATTTGCTTGAACTTGTGGTTTTTCTTAGGTTTATTTTCTAATTATAATACACATGTGCAGGTCTATGTTGCAAGCAATCTTCAGTTCATTGGTCTCAAGATCTATCTATATGGTAACTTCTACTGCCACCTTAATTTTTAACCAAGCTATGGCTTGACATCCACTATATGTTTGATTGTCATTGATATATAAAACGGTCCAAAAATTAGCTTTAACTTCTCAGCCATTGCAAACCTAAGAAAAGCACTGAAGTTGTGCCATATTTATGCAAAGATACTGAATTGATCCCTGCGTATAAACTATATTGATGGCTGGCCAATATTTAGTTGGCTTTAATTTAACTGATGATAATCACATTGTTTTATGTTTTTTTTTTCTATTTTTTCTATTTTTTTTTCTATGTTTTCCAAGGAAGCTGGGCTACACCTGAGAGAGACAAGAGCGGGGATTTGGGAGCATTCGAAGCAGAGTTATCAGCACCAACTGTTACTAGGCCCCTCTATGTATTGCTTGAAACAATGAAATAATTTGATAAATATTTTTTTTTCATGTGTAATTATATTGTGGATTGTATGTTTGGAAGGATTGTGTGTTTGTTTTTGTTATCCACTGTGTGTTTGGAAGGATTGCAATCAAATGTTTGTAATTATCTAGTTAATTTTATAAATTATTGAGCATGATTATTTATGGGTGACTTGTTTGCTACATAAAAAAAATGGCTTCTATGGTAGTTGTCTAAGTTTGGTTTGGGAATTGAATTTTTTAATAAATTTTTAACTTTTTAACAAAAATATAAAGTGAAAAAAAAAATAGGATGTATTTTGAGGGCCGTGTCACGTGGCCGAGGTGCCACCAAGTTGTTGGCCGAGGTATCATGTGGAAGGGCCAGATTACTGTGGTGATGACGGTATTGCTGAGATATGGTGCGGTAATATTGGAATCCAAGATATTTGGATAGAGGACAGTAGTCCTAGATGAGATGAGGCATTTAGTTCGGATAGGGATAAGGCTCTTGAGGAGTTTATCCATATCTGCCTAAGAGTTCGATATAAGTGTTGTACTTGAGTCCTATGAAGTGAGACTTTTAGGAGACGAGTGCACCACTGACTATAAAAGTAAGGCATCCTATGGGTCGAAGGTATGCTTTTGTTTTGTGAGTTAAGATGAAAGCAGTGAACATTAAGATTTATTGCATAAGGGTGAATTGGACATAAAAAACTAAAATAACATAAACAGAGGACTTTGATTTGGGAGCTTCTATTTCCACACCCCTATTCCTCTCTGTGCACATCCTTCTTAGTTCACACACCTAAAAAAAAATGTACTCATTACACGCACTTTTATTCCAATTATACCCCCATATCTAAAGCATACACACACAACTTTCCAACACTCTCAATCCACACAAGGTCAGCATCCACACAGCCACGCCTTGGTAGGAGAAGCCAACCAGTTCCAACCTCCATTGCAATCACGACTGAGAACCAGGGAGTTCCATTGCAGTCTCTTACATAGAGAGAACCAGCCTGCTTTCAACCTCTATAGAAGACCTCCATTGGTTCATTCGGAAGTACAATATCGAACTAATATGTAAGGTTCGAAAGTATAGTTTCGAACCAAACACATTGATTCGGAAGTACAATGTCGAACCAACGTGTTCGGATGTTGAAAGTCGAACCAATATGTTTTGTTAAAAATGTTGATGGTCAAATCGATGTATTATTTTCGACCCTGGTTTAATGAAGAGCGGAGGGGTGGCGTCAATTGTCTTCTCAAGCGAAGGGGGTGGCGTCGATCATCTTCTCAGGCGAAGGGGGTGGCGGCGACACAACACTACCCCCGTAACCCCCTACTTCGTGATGCAACACCATCGCCGCCGCAACTCCCACCCCTTTGCGATCCTCGATCCACAGAGAGAAAGAGAGAGAGAGAGAGAGAGTTGTAGATGGCGATGTGAGGGAGGGGCTTCGATTCGAGAAGATGGGGGCTGGGGGGAGGCCACGGAGGGAGGGACTGTGTTGAGGAAAGGGACGACAGGATGGGGTGGTGGCCAGTGATGGGGATAGTTAGGGTTAGGGTTTTGGTTGAAGAAGAAAGGGATATTTTGGTAATTTTATTTTAGAACAAAAATGTAATAAAAAAAATATCATTAAATGTGTGGAAAGAGGGGAAGTGGTCTGTGGAAATAGGAGCTCCCGTTAGATTTTCAAGATTTAAAAACCTAAGGACCTTAATTTTAATTACTATGCAAACTTGTAGTGTTCTAAACCTCTAACAAAAATATGTAGAGGGATTAAGAATGTAAAGAAGAAGAAAGAGATATTTTAGTAATTTTATTTTAGAACAAAAATGTAATAAAAAAAATATATCATTAAGTGTGTGGAAAGAGGGGAAGTGGTGTGTGGAAATAGAAGCTCTCGTTAGATTTTCAAGATTTAAAAACCTAAGGACCTTAATTTTAATTATTATGCAAACTTGTAATGTTCTAAACCTCTAACAAAAATATGTAGAGGGATTAAGAATGTAAAATCAAAATCAATCTTAAATAATTAAAAAAAAAAAGAATGTAAAATTAGCCTAGCCAGGGTCGGACCGGTTCCCAAAAATCTAGGCTTAGGCCCAAGTCCAATCCTAAGCATAGGGATTACAGGCATTGGGCTTGGGTTGGGCCTAGACTGGATTTCACTTTTTTTTTTCTTTTTTTTTTTTTCACCAAAAATAACTTGCAAGTGACATTGGGTATCAATCGGGCTAGGCCTTAAGTCAGGCCTCAGGCCAAGATTTGGACCAAACTGAGCCTAGAAATGCTTTGCCCAAGCCCAGAGGTTGCAGACTAGGCCCCTTTGAGTGAGTTTCCGCCAGGCCTTGAGCTCGCTAGCCAATTTTACATCCCTAATAAGGATGTTTCTCTAATTTTTCATATAAAAAAAGACAAAATAAGTATAACTTTCAAGATATTTTTATTAGTTTTATGATAATTTTCACTTTTTTAATTTTTTTTTTACAATTTTGGTTATAAAAAAAAACACGCTTTATATATTTTATAATGAATTTAAAAAAAAATTAAAATATTAATTTTCAAAAGAGAGTTGTTGCTTTTTTGAGAACATGATTAAAAGTAGTTTTTTGGTATGTAATTTATGTTTTGAGTATTCAGTTTAGCACTTGATTATCTTTGAGAGATATACTGACTTGATCGTCGGAGTGCCCCCGGGTGGAAGAACCACCGCCGGGGCTTTTTCTTTCTGTTACAGGTTGCTAAAGCCATCTATTTTGCCCGTGCTCTCCAGCTGATCACTAAACGGGCAGTGTGGTCAGATTTTCACACCACACACTCCCCAAAACAAACATGTTTCCTCAATGCAGCAGCAAGGGTAATATGTTAGAGTAGTACCAGACCAGCTTCTCACAATTTGCAAGGCGTATAAAAAGCAATCATTTTTTTGTTGCCGAAAGGTGCATACAATATGATATAGGTAGCGTTGCAGAGCAGAGGTCATGGGAGACAGACTCTCAGCCTAATTCTGAATAATTTCAAATAACAAATTATGCTTCTCTAGCCATTTTTGTCCATGTTCTTCAAAACTCTTATTCATGCACGAGGTTTTCCACACCCTTCCAATTTATACTATACTATGCTTTTGGTTCAATATGTTGCGCATGGGTCAACTGAATTAGACTCCACCAAAAATTAAACCCACCAGAACTCTATTGTAGCACTGTAATCCTGCAAATTCACATAAAATTTAATGATTAGCTTAAGAGAGATAGATGTAGCCAAACTTATCAGCAAAATGAAACAACTGGGTGTTTTGGAAATATAATTAAAAATTGGTTTTTTGGTTTTTTTTGACTTTTTAAAAAAAAAAAACGTATAAAAAAGATGGGAGGTAATATAATTCAAAATAGGTTAAAGAGTTAACTTTCGACTTTTAGCAATCTTCCCAAATTTATGGCATTTCTACGTGCATATGCAGTATCATACGCAATCCAAATGTCAGATAAAACTATCATGTTTGATTTGTTCGTGAAATCAAGATAGGAAGAACAAAAATAAGACACTGCAACCTAATTCTGAATAAGAAGACAACCTTTGAATGAGTCTTTGATTCATGAACACCCCCCCTCCCCCCCCCCCCAAAAAAAAAAAAAAAAGTGTGCAAAGAGAACAAGAAAAATGATGCGGACTAGTACATGAGGTTGTTCTTGAAGTTAGTTTGCTACTTAAAAACAGACCACTTGATTCATGCAAGAGTTTTACTTGAACTTGGCCAGTGTCATCGACTCCATGTGTATGCTTGCATGGGAGGGTATGAATGGTGGCTTTAGTGTGCGGCAGTGGTCACAATTTTGGAGCTAGAGAGGCTGATAATATGGCGGTGCTTGGGAAGCAAAATTTGGGCTTGTTTTCTAAGTTATAATTCACAAAAACATAAAATAGACTAAAATAGTTAATAAGATAAAATGTCACATTAAATTTATAATCATTTTATTTTTTCTCTCACAAACATCACATTCAACTATAAAAATATTAAACCCTCTTCGTAAAACATAAAATTTTTAACTTATTAAAATAGTCAAAAACTTAAATAACTTACTAAAATAATAAACTTCTCATTAATGAGGTCTATACATTTCCTGCAAAATAGATAATAAAGATAATTTTCTTGAAATAGGTCTTTTAAATATGTAGTTTCAAATTCAAAAAGTTTAAGCGCCCATTGAATGAAGAGAATTTGAAATGAAGTAGTAGGAGCCGTTAACGTCATCCAACTCCATCTGCTCTCCGTTTGGTTTGGGTCAGGATTTATTGAGCTTTGTTGACATGACATGGCTAACTGACATTATTTTTAAAAGGCACCATGTGATTGGTGTGGAGTACCATTGACGTCGTGCGCTAGGAGAATGATTCAACTTGTTTAATTTTAGTTTTTAAAAAATACTTTTAAATTTTTTTTAACTTTTTTATTTTTCATATTTTTTTCTTTTTATTAATTTTTTTAATATTTTAAGTAATTTTTTTAATTTTTAGACACATCTCACATAAATACATTTAAACCATATAATTTTTGTTATTTTTTTAAAAATTCATTAAATACCAAAAATACAAATAAAAATACAAAAATTCAATATATTTTTTATATTTTTATGTATTTATTAATTTTTTAAAATATTTTTCACAAATATTTTACTTTGTAAAATACATTTAAGTAAGATGAATCTAAAAAAATATAAAAAAATGCTACAAATTTTAAAAATATTTACTAAAAACAAAAAATATGAAAAATAAAAAAATTAATTTTTAAAAAACTAAATTTAAAAAATTGAAACCAAATACTGAATAATTTCTCCAACCTCAGGGACTTAGACTCAGGCGTTGTGAGTCCCGCTTACTTTTTCCATTCTCAACTTACAAAGAAAGAAACAAAAACGAAATTTTTTTTTTTTTTTTTTTCTTTTGAAACTGTTGTTAGACAAATGCTTGTAAGCCTTAAAGACCATATGTAAGACAATTACACCTTTTATGTTTTGGGTTATACAAATTTGTGTTATTAATTATACCAAATTTTGTTAAAACATACACATTGGTGACCTGCTAAGCAGGTCACCTTACAGGTAAAATTAATAAAATAATAAAATAATTTTTTATTTCTCAAAAAGGCTTAAGTTTT